TATGACGGGCTTTTTTGACAACTATTCACCCTATGTTCCTGCGTTATGCCTATATACTCATTCACCAGGTTGAATACCTGTCCGAATAGTTCCCATCGTAATTACATATACACATATTAACCTATGTCCCTATATAGTCTTTTTGTGAGCCATGTCTACAGAGGCTGTTTATATGGTTGTTTTCCCATGTTTAATAACGATATATACTTTGCACATAAGGTTAGCATTCCTCGTTTGCCTCACTGCATAGTAATGGCTCCACAGATTAGACTGTCTCCATCTGCATCCCTTAGTATGGGTTTCACCTTCTGTTGTCCATCTGCACTGTTCTTCAAGAAAATGGCCGCCGTATGTGCGTACTGCGCATGCGCGGCTTTACCGCAATGACGTCACCGGTGCGTACTGCGCATGCGCACCGCGGAATATAAAAACGATCAATTTCCCTGCAATGCACCCCCTTTGAAAACGTGTGTTGACACGAAACGCGTCAATGAGGTGCCCCCCTACTGTCTGGACATATCCTTTAGCTGCCCCTTGTTCCTGTGACCAATTTTGTAAGTGTTGTTTTTCTTGTCATTTTGAATTACCACCTATTAAATGCAATACTACACTATCAAAGCTTCTGGCCTGTGGCTCTCTTTATTGGAGGGAGCCTGGGCTTTTTGAAGGTGCCTGGTTCCTCTTGGTCTCCTGTGTGATGCTGGCTGGCTTGCTGGATTCATCTCCTTACTGGCTGATGTGCATTTTTGGAATCATCATCCTGCTGTTCTGGGAACATGACATCTAGTGGCGAGAGATTAGATGACATCATCCTTTCCAGTGGCTTTCTTTCAGAGTACCAGGAGTAGGTCTTAATTACTCCATGCTCCATGTGCTGAGATATCTGGTTAGTGCAAACTTCTTTCAGCTTGTCCAACACAAGAGTCACGAACTTTGTTCCGGTTCCCTAACCGGGGATGCACCATAGAAGTCACCAATTCTATATGCTTTATATTTAATGGTATATTTAGAACAATTATATGCTAATAGGTTCCTGTGGATCTTGAGACCTAATTTATGAGCGCTGCATATTTTATGACTTATTATCCGAAGTTTCTTGAGGTTTACTTTCTATGCTAGCAGCTTAACTAATCATCTTTGTAATCCATATACTCATTCATCTGTATAATTATTAGACACCTAGCGCTGTTTCTTTCCAATTTTATATGGTTGTGTGAAATGGTGTCCTACAGGTGTGCAGAGGTCATCTTCTTTATGTTCCTTGATGGTATGTCTGTGCAAATTCATCCTTGTTTGCAACTTCTGTCCTGTTTCTCCAACATAAGATCCTTTGCTGCATTTTCTGCACTGGATAAGGTACACAACATTACTGGAGGTGCAGCTGTATGATCCGGAAATATTGAAGATCCCTTTTGAGTGTCTGACACTTTTTGATGGATTGATTTGGTTGCACAGTTTGCAGCGTTTCTTATTGCAGGGTTTGGCTCCATTATTTGTGACATCATAATCAGAAGGAAGTTTCCTACTGATTAGTTTATTTCTGAGGTTGGGGGGTTGTCTGAAAACCAGTATTGGGGGTTGCTGGAATATTTCTTTCAGAGTTCCATCCTCTGTTATGATGGGTTGTAAATCTTTGATTATTTTTCTTATTCCTTCTAGTGTTGGGTTGTATGTGGTTACTAGAGGTACACGGTTGTTTGTTTTTTTTCTCTTTGTACTGAAGTAGATTTTCTCTTCGGGTCCTCAAGGCTGTGTTTATGCTGGTGTTGATAGTTTTGTCCTTGTAACCCTTCTTATGGAAGGCGTCTGCTAGTGTCCCAAGATGTTTACCTCTGTCTCTTGGGTCAGAACATATTCGGTGGTATCTAGTGGGCTGACTGTGTATGATGGCACGTTTCGTGTGTTGGGGGTGGAAGCTGGAACTGTGGAGGTATTTGCATCTGTCAGTGGGTTTCCTGTATATTGAGGTGTGAAGCGTATCATCCCTGATGTATACTGTGGTGTCTAGGAAGTTGACGTGTGTGTTTGAGTATTCCATTTTTAGTTTTGATGGATGAAAAGCGTTCATCAATGAGTAAAATGGTTTTAGATTTTCTTCACCTTCTGTCCATATGATGAAAATATCATCAATATAGCGAAAGTATCTGTATGGTTTTTGTTCCATGCTGTTCAGGAATTGTTCTTCCATGTCAGCCATAAATACATTTCCATATTGGGGTGCCATTTTACTTCCCATCGCAGTGCCCATACATTGAAGATAGATGTCTTTATTGAAAGCAAAGTAGTTGTGTGTGTAAGTATAAATTCAATGAGCTGTGTAACATCCTCAGCAGTGTATTTGTTGTTTGGTGAGGATGATAAGGATCTGTGACATGCAGCTAATCCATCCTTGTGAGGGATATTACTATACAGGGATACTACATCCATAGTCACTAGAAGTGTATTAGATGGTAATTGCTGTATGTTGTTGATCTTGTTCAGAAAGTCAGTTGTGTCTTGCAGGAAACTAGCCGTATTCATGACTAACGGTTTTAAAATTTTTTCTACAAAGCCTGAGATTTGTTCGGTGAGTGAATTCATACCTGTTATGATGGATCTGCCTGGATTTCCTGGCTTGTGGACTTTGGGCAGCATGTAGAAGTCCCCGATTTCTGGATGATCCGGAATCGCATTTATAAGTTCTGAATGTAGGTGGGCTGGAAGTGTTTTAATGAGACCTTTTAATTGCTTTGTAAAGTCCTGGGTAGGATCATAATCCAGTTTTTTTATAGTAAGTGGCATTTTCCAGCTGCCTCTGGCCTTCTTGTATGTATTTGTTTGTATCCATCACAACAACTGCTCCCCTTGTCCGCTGGTTTGATGGTGATGGCCTGATTGTTGCGCAAATCGTGTATAGCCCTTCGCTCTAGTGGTGAAAGATTGTACAGAATTTTCTTTTGCTGGGTGGATATCAGGGATGTAGCTCGCAATCTGAAGCTATCAATATAGGTGTCCAGTTTGGGGTTGCGTCCTTGTGGAGGTGTGAAGCAGCTGTTCGGGGACTTCTACATGCTGCCCAAAGTCCACAAGCCTGGAAATCCAGGCAGACCCATCATAACAGGTATGAATACACTCACCGAACAAATCTCAGGCTTTGTAGAAAAAATTTTTTTAAAACCGTTAGTCATGAATACGGCTAGTTTCCTGCAAGACACAACTGACTTTCTGAACAAGATCAACAACATACAGCAATTACCATCTAATACACTTCTAGTGACTATGGATGTAGTATCCCTGTATAGTAATATTCCTCACAAGGATGGATTAGCTGCATGTCACAGATCCTTATCATCCTCACCAAACAACAAATACACTGCTGAGGATGTTACACAGCTCATTGAATTCATACTTACACACACAACTACTTTGCTTTCAATAAAGACATCTATCTTCAATGTATGGGCACTGCGATGGGAAGTAAAATGGCACCCCAATATGGAAATGTATTTATGGCTGACATGGAGGAACAATTCCTGAACAGCATGGAACAAAAACCATACAGATACTTTCGCTATATTGATGATATTTTCATCATATGGACAGAAGGTGAAGAAAATCTAAAACAATTTTACTCATTGATGAACACTTTTCATCCATCAATAAAACTAAAAATGGAATACTCAAACACACATGTCAACTTCCTAGACACCACAGTATACATCAGGGATGATACGCTTCACACCTCAATATACAGGAAACCCACTGACAGATGCAAATACCTCCACAGTTCCAGCTTCCACCCCCAACACACGAAACTGCCATCATACACAGTCAGGCCATTAGATACCACCGAATATGTTCTGACCCAAGAGACAGAGATAAACATCTCGGGACACTAGCAGACGCCTTCCATAAGAAGGGTTACAAGGACAAAACTATCAACACCAGCATAAACACAGCCTTGAGGACCCGAAGAGAAAATCTACTTCAGTACAAAGAGAAAAAAAAAACAAACAACCGTGTACCTCTAGTAACCACATACAACCCAACACTAGAAGGAATAAGAAAAATAATCAAAGATTTACAACCCATCATAACAGAGGATGGAACTCTGAAAGAAATATTCCAGCAACCCCCAATACTGGCCTTCAGACAACCCCCCAACCTCAGAAATAAACTAATCAGTAGGAAACTTCCTTCTGATTATGATGTCACAAATAATGGAACCAAACCCTGCAATAAGAAACGCTGCAAACTGTGCAACCAAATCAATCCATCAAAAAGTGTCAGACACTCAAAAGGAATCTTCAATATTTCCGGATCATACAGCTGCACCTCCAGTAATGTTGTGTACCTTATCCAGTGCAGAAAATGCAGCAAAGAATCTTATGTTGGAGAAACAGGACAGAAGTTGCAAACAAGGATGAATTTGCACAGACATACCATCAAGGAACATAAAGAAGATGACCTCTGCACACCTGTAGGACACCATTTCTCACAACCAGGCCACAATATGGAAGACCTCAATATTTTAGTTCTGAAAGGAAAATTCAAATCCATCCAGGAAAGAAAAACATTTGAACTAAGAATGATAATTCTATTTGACACTAAAGATAACGGCCTTAATTTGGACATGGGATTCCTCAACCATTATCCGACAGCTTTATGACTATCTATTAGCTAAAGCTTGACCCCCTCTGTGTGAGTGTAGTGTAGTATTCCCCCCCCCCCCCCCCTCGCTTTTGATGTATCTTATCTGTAGCCCTTTTTTTTTTTTTTTTCTCAATCCCTTTTAACATTCTGCTTAAACTTTGCGATTTGTAATAGTACTGCTTAGACCTTGAAGAAGGGGACATACCCTGAAAACTTGTCCTCAAAATTGTATGTTAGTGCAAATAAAAAAAAAGTATCACGGACAGTACTCAATTGTTTCTGTCAATTTAAATCGAAACTACTTCTAATGTTAGGTTATCAAGCAGCACCATAGTGTTTATTTATGTGCATTAGAAATTAATTTTCTCACCTCATTCAAGATTTTTCCAAGAGTCTCCTGGCTCTGGATAGACTTCCTGTAGCCGGAAAACAAACTAATGTTAAAGAGCAAATCAAACATCATTACTTGTGCTCATTGGTCTATTTAATGCCTAATTATTACCTGGACATTGACTGCAGTTACAGTCTTATTTTACTTTTCTACTGTATTTCGATATATGTTGTGACTGAAGTGGACTACATTTATGTTCAGTTTTCTGTAACTTACTATACAATTTTATAAAAGAAAAAACAAGTGCTTAGTTGAAAGAAAGAATTAAACATTTTTGGTTCTAAATAAAAAAAATACTTGGCAGTGGTGTGGAAAGGTTTTAAAAAACTACTTGTCCAGGGACTAAATTGGTGTACCAATTTATTTGCCCCTCATGACAATCTACTTGTCCCGATAAAATAAAATTTTAACCAAAACCGTATTTAAATCTGAAGTTCTTTTTAAAGACAAAACAAAACAAAAAAAAAAGAAGAAGGGGCTTTATGACGAATTTAAAGATTTAATATTTTTAATATTGCGCTGTTCATCTCTTCCTCATCTCCCTGCCTGTCTCCAGCACCGCACCCGGGGACTAGCAGTGCGGAGAGATCTTGCAGTGTAATAAGCACCAACTGGGTGCTCGCCAGGAAAGGGGTATGTCGGGCTTATCCTTTATCCCTTTTGCTGCCAGAGCCATTTTTGTGTTCTTTGCACACTTTTAAAAAATTATTTTAGGCCTGAAGATTACACAAACCCCTCCCAAACATTATATATTTTTTGAAAGCATAGACCCTAGAGAATAAAATAGTGGTATTTCAAATTCTTTATGTCACACAATATTACCACAAAGGTCTAAGAAACACAACATTTCAGTATAAAATATACACTATACAGGCATACCTGGGTTTACGAATTTAATTCATTCTGCAGGACTTTTCGTATAGCAAAAAAATTTGTAAACTCCCATAGGAATGCATTGAAAACCAATTAATCCGTTCTGGAGGTCAGTAAAAAGTAAACGCTACTAAAATACCACATGAGTTATTTATCAAGTCATGCGGTATTTTAGCAGTGACAACCATGTGTTAATGTTTCAGCTGTCAGCGGGGTTCCCCACTGACAGCTGAATGTAAAAGAAAGAATTGCTGGCAATTAAAAAAAAAAATGGCGTGGTGGAAGGGGGGTCTGCGGGCAGGGGGCTTATCGGAATCTGGAAGCACCTCCCCATGTTGAGGGCATGTGGACTGGTGTGGTTCATGAGGGGGGAGCGCTCGCTCATTCCTCCCCCCCTTCCTGATCTGCCGGGCTGCATGCTCGTATAAGGGTCTGGAATCGATCTTGGAGGGACCCCCACACCATTTTTTTTTCTAATTTTGGTGTGGGGGTTCCCCTCAAAACCCATACCAGACCCAAAGGGCTTGGTATAAATGGAGGGGGGACCCCACGCCCTGGTGTTTATTTTATTATGGTGCTGGTTTTTAAATGTAATTACAGCTTTTTTTTTTTTTCACTATAGCTCAGAGATTCAGCTGTCACTTTCCCCCCAGCTAAAAGAAAGAAAGTTTCCTTTTAGTTTAGTTTCCCCAAGATTAAAAGAAACAAAGTTTCCTTTAGCTCTGGGGAAAGTGACAGCTAATTCTGTGAGCTATAGTGAAGAAAAAAAAAAAAAAAAAAGCTGGCAATGGCATTTAAAAATCCACATACACTTCGTATTGCGAAAAACATTTGTAAACAGAGGCATTATTTTCAATGGATTTTTATTTGTAAACCGAAAATTACGTTAACCGAGGCGTTCGTAAACCGAGGTACACCTGTATTGCCAAAGATGCCTGCCTTTCAAAGCACATGAACTTTAATGGCATCCCAGTCTTAGTCTGCAGGGATAAATATTGAGTTGGCCCACCCTTTACAGGTATAACAGCTTCAACTCTTCTGAGAAGACTGTCCACAAGGTTTAGGAGTGTGTCTTTATGGACCTTGCTTTGTACACTGGCGTGCATTCATGTTGGAACAGGAAGGGGCTATCCCCAAACTTTTCAAAGTTGGGAGCGTGAAATTCTTCAAAATGTCTTGGTATGCTGATGCCTTAAGAGTTCCCTTCACTGGAACTAAGAGGCCAAGACAAACCCCTGAAGAACAACCCCACACAATAATCCCCCCTCCACCAACCTTTACACTTGGCACAATGCAGTCAAGCAAGCACCATTCTCCTGGTAAATCGCCAAACCCAGACACGTCCATCGGCTTGCCAGGTCGAAGCGTAATTCGTCACTCCAGAGAACACATCTCCACTGCTCTTGAGTCAAGTGGCGGCGTGCTTTACACCACTGCATCCGAGGCCTTGTATTGCACTAGGTGAAGTTAGGCTTGCATGCAGCTGCTCAGTCATGGAAACCCATTCCATTAAGCTCTCTACGCACTGTTGTTGTGCTAATCTGAAGGCCACACAAAGTTTGGAAGTCTTTAGCTATTGACTCTGCAGACAGTTGGCGACTTCTGTGCACTGTAGCATACCCTGACCACGCTCTTTAATTTTACATGGTCTACCACTTTGTGGCTGAGTTGCTATTGTTCCCAGTTGCTTCCACTTTGTTATAATACCACTAACAGTTGACCATGGAATAATTCCTAGCAAGGAAATTTCATGGATGGACTTATTGCACAGGTGGTAACCTATCACGGTACCACACTTGAATTCAATGAGCTCCTGAGAGTGACCCATTCTTTCACAAATGTTTGTAGAAGCAGTCTACATACCTAGGTGCTTGATTTTATACACCTGTGGCCATGGAGTTGATTGGAACACTTGAATCCAATGATTTGGAGGGCTGGCCCAATACTTTTGACAATATAGTGTACTTTGAGGTAATTTTAGGGTACAAAAAAAATGGAATCCAATTTTTTTTGTAAAATATAAAATATGAGGTATAAATAGCTATTTAACATGTCAAACCTTAAAATTGTGTGCACTCGTGAAATGGAGACAAAATTTAGTACCCTATATTTTCTATAGGTGACACTTTTAAAGCTCTTTATAGGTCATCAGTATAGTGTTACGGAGGAGGTCTTGTGCTAGAATTATTTCTCTCATTCTGGCATGCGTGGCGATATGTAACATGTGTACCACGATCAACGTTTTCATGCATAGGCGCCCCAGCGTGTGCTCTTACATTGGTATGTGCATATATGTGGGGGGGGGGGGGGGGGGGGGCTCAATTTTTTTTGTGAACATGAACATGGGACAAAAAGTCCCCTATGTAATGATTTTTGGTGACAGGTTCTCATTTGAGACATCCAGGGTCTAGAAAGGATAACTCACTTGTACTCCACTGGATGTAATGCAATGCACACTGCACTGCATTACATTCTTTCCTGGCCTCGATGGCCAGGAAATCTGTCAGCGTGGACCCGGAAGTGACATCACAAAATCACTTCTTGGTCAGGACAAGAAGGGGAGGGGAGCGGACGTGTCTGCTCTCCTCCCTCCCCTATACCCGCACCTGCTGAATCAGTCCCAGGCCCGCAGATGGGCAAGCAGAGCTCGGGAGACAGGCAGGGGGATGGAGGCTAGCACTGTGGTGGGCTGTGTGGCAGCAATCAGGTGGCAGCACAGTCGCCCAAATGCTTCCACCTGACAGGTGAGCCATGGGCATGCATAAGTGTTTCATGCATCCCCATGCAGGATGTCCCATACATGTCAAATGGGATACAGCAGCTGCACTGACACAGCCATTGCTCCCAATATGTGTGGGGCCATGCACCCGCACAGATGTCATACTAGGCGAAGTGGCTGCATCCCAATAGACATGAACAAGACTACCTGTGCATCCCTGTGTGGGTAAACACGGCAAACACTGGGAAGTATGCTGTAGTATGCCTATGTGAATGAGGCCTTCTTACTCTATTTTTAAGACATCAAAGGCTGTAGGGCATTAGGTCTGGCCCTGGTGCATATATAGGAAAAAAAAACACCCCTTCATAGATGGGAAGAACTGGGATGCTGGAAAATATGTTACACCAGCTTGTACAGTACTTTCCCAAGCTAAGACAAAAGGAACTCCAGGACAGCGGTTATCCACAGCTGCATGGATTTGCAAACCTGGTGCATAGAATCTATGCTGGGGTGAAAATGAGAAGCACTATGCTGGTACACCGTGTACCTTCTGTATGTTTCAACAGTAAACATTTTTAAGTTCACATTTAATATATTTAAAATGGAAGGTAGCTCCATTTGGTACATTAGGTTCATGCATGTTACTAACAGCTGTACTGATGTGAACACTGTAATTACCTCTCCATCTTGGTAGATATGGATACAGAGAAAAGTCACATTCCTGATTAGGTAAATACGTGGAAGGCACAATGATGTATTGCCCAGGAGAAAGGTCACACATCATGGACACTTCATGTGAGTAACTGTGTGGTACACAACTGGCACGTGGCTCTTGTACAAAAGGTGAAAGGCTGCTGTCAGGGGGAACCTACAGATGGATTACAAACGTAGCATTTTAAAATGTCCTACAGTGATTTCAACTACAAAATCAGAGAAAATACTATAAATTTATAACAGGACCATATTTTTCCATTGATCAAGCATTAATGTAATTTTATATTAAATTTATTTATTATAGAAAACATGAATAGGAAATGCATCACTCTACAAAGAGGCAAAGGTTTAGAATCACATACCAAATAGGACTAGCAATTCAAAAACACAACAAAATTAGGTTATAGAAAAAATATGCCTATTATCCCACTAAATAGAGGGAAAAAAAGTTGCCAAAGAGGCCATCAACTAAATTATTGTGAAATTAACAACAAATCAGAGTACATATAAACCAGGCACTAAAGCTCACATTACCTTTAAAGTGATTGTAAAAGTTGATGATTTTTTTTTTTTAACAAACATGTCATACTTACCTGCTTTATGCAGTGGTTTTGCACAGAGCAGCCCTGATTTTTTTTATGTCGTGACCGGCACAGCAGCTTTAATCAGTGCTGTACTGACACAGATTCATACGACAGCAGAGTACTAGGAACTCCTTCCTCAGAAATTCCCCTGAGGACAGGAAAGCCCTGGGAAACATCATGCAATCATTCAATAATGAAAATGGTTCTAAAAAGTTGTTTTTTTTTTACCTTGATGCATTCTCTGTGGCCACGCCGCGCTGTGTGTGTCAATGGACAGAGCACAAGTGCCCCCATGGCAAGTGGATCTGGTGGGGTGAGGAACCAGTAGTGCTAGCTGGGGACCCCGGAAGAGGAAGATTGGGGCTGCTCTGTGCAAAACCACTTCACAGAAAAGGTAAGTATGACATGTTTGTGGTTTTAAAAAAATAAATATATTTTACAATCATTTTAAATACAGTGGCATAATTTTTATCACAGAATGGATGATGGCAATTAAACTTTGTATGTTTAGTATTACTTATGTTGCTTTAAACAATACTTACCATGTACACATGGAACCCTATTGCATGGCAGTGTTTTCCCTGACAGTGTTGCTTTAGTGTCACCCTCACCAGTCTGGCTTTACTGGGCACTATAAAAGGGATGGTTGGATTAAGGCAGTAAGATGGAAAATTCCTGCTGCCTCCGGCATTAACATCCTTCTTCCACTGGCCTTTTACTTCTCGGTTCTCCCAAGTTCCTTTTACATCATCTTCACTTATGTTTACCAGTGGCTGACGGGAGGTTATTTCACTGTAGGTTGCAAACATCAAAATGTTTAAGAAAATCTCAGCTAAATCTCCAGCACATTCATAATCAACATCTGTGTAATACACAAATGTGCTTTCCACTTTGACTGTTTTGAGACACTAAAGAAAGCAAAGCCCTACTCATTCTAATGGATGGGGAAAAAAAGAGGGTAAGGAGATAGAGAAAAGCAATCACTTGAATTTAACATGTAAAAAAGGACTCTCTTATGCCAAGTGATCTCAGCAAAGTTATGGTCAATACACATGGAAGGATACCACAGGCTCTACATTGCATTCTACATTATATGTACAAATGAAACATAAAATGCAGGAGCAATGTAAAGTACTTACTATGATATCCTATGAAGAGCAACTACTGCTCACGGTTATAAATAATGCTCAGGAGAAAAATTATGATACACATGACAAGCAACAGTGGTCACTATCCTCACCTTGAGAAAAAAAGAACGTTACGAAGAATGTTACTCTGCAACTTTATTTGCAGGTCATGTTCCTGACAGGTAGAGTAAAAAAGTGCAGAAACCATAGATAGAGCGCACAATCAATTTACCATGATTGTCGGCTAGTGGCCATAATGCATTATCTTCCTGAAACACCTAAATCACTAGATTGCGCTGGCAATCATAAAAAATAAAAACATATTAGACACATTACAGGGACTATGTGATGGCTGTCCGAATGCTGAGAATGCAATTTTTTTATACACATACTCCATAAGTATGGTACAAAAAGGTACTAGGTAGGTAGATTTTAAAATGGAACAAATGACAGCAAAAAAAAAAAAAAAAAAAAAAAATAAGTACACTTTTCACCTATTGTAACACTTCTTTTTTTGTTTTGTTGTGTTTGTCTACATAGGAAAATAAAATGTATGCAAGGCAATGTCACCAAAAAAGCCTTGTTTGTCTTGGAAGAGTAAAACATACACTGCTTTGTTATCTTAAGTAATGACAAAATTATTGCTCAATCAATAGGCCCATGAAAAATTTAAAAATTGATGTGATCCATAGGCAGTGTACAGGTGTGAGAGCTGAAACTGTTAGTCTAGCCATGTTTATAGTCATGTATAGTTTGGCTTTTGATTAACCATGGAGATATTTAAGTTTTTAACTGCATGTAAACTAGATTTTGGCAGTGACAGTGGTAAATGGAATATATAGTTTAAAAAGACGTAACCTGAGGGCAATTGGTCCACTAGAAAGGACACGCAACAAGAAGTCCCCCTCTGTGTCCCTGAGGAAGGTGCTGGGTATAACCAGGTAATATCCAGGAGACAGCTCACAACGCAGGTGAAGCTGTCTATCATAGGAATGTGAGGAGGTGCCAGCTACAACAGGCGACAGTATGGTTTTCTGCAAGTTAAAACGACGTTTTTCCACCTACAGAGAAAATTACATATTTCCATAAATGTACAAACTGCTAAGTAATTTAATAAGATAGGTATATCAAAACATAAAAATACAGATAACTGTTAAAACCTATTGCAAACATATATACAGGTTAAACTGAATGATCTGGCTACTTTAACATCAAACAATCCTCAAGCTGTCTAACCATCAGCAAAGCCCATATCCCAGCAGACCTGAACATCTTTGCAAAGGATAGACAGCCAGGACTTTCATACAGTATTTGGTGAAATGTAGCAACTCAGCTCCTAAGGCAAAGCCTGGGATTGATTGGAAGATAAGATGCTTTGACAAGCAACTTTAAACTTGCAAGCAAAGTCTCAGGGCTTTTGGATGTATATTTTACTTCTATTTCTGATTCATTGGTCAAACCTGAGGACCTTGCACAACACTAAATCCTGCCTCGAAGCCCCCCTGACCACCTCCCCCTCCTCCTTTTCCATCCCTTCCTACACACTCCCTCTTCTATTCCATTTCTCTTTACTCCTCTCAGATTTTCTATTGCCTTTGGATAGTCCGTTTTACCCTATTATTGGCCACGTGGTACTGCTGCTACTGGCAGTTACCATTGTTTTATCAGTTGAAAACGCTTTACTTATGCTTTTGTTTGTAAGGCTGACAAACCTCTTTTACAGTTATACTTCTTCAATCTCAATGCAGAAGCTTTTCTATTATGTTAATTTTTTTGTATACTGGACTAAAACGATTAAAAAACATTGAAGTAGAAAACATTCCTCTGGTGGAACAGGGACAAGAGCTGCTGAACAGAAGCTAGGACATCCACCCACCGCAATGAGAAGAGACAAGTTTGACGTTATGAAGCGAAGAGAAGGCAGAGTGCAAAATTACAGTTTGTAGCCCCTAGAAATGACACACTGGACCTATGTGTCTGACATTTTCTGCAGCCAGGATGCCAACAGACATCCCCCCCCACACACTTTTAGAAGTTGGGGGGTCCCATTACTGGGAAGAGATCTTGGATGCAGCCCTGGTTGGTTTTAAGGGTCAATGTCTTATTGTGAAAGTTCATTCCCAACTTAAACTTTGCATTGGAGAACTTGAAGGGATGAAAGGGAACCTTTGTAACCTCAGGATTAGAAGCTTTATGGATATAGGTGCAAACACTCCTTTCTGTGGAAGGAGAGTACTCCTTACCCCCCCTGTGATCTCCTTTATGCATTTATCCAATAGGGGGCCAAACAGGTGTTCTCCTTCAAAGGGTAACTGATCAAGGCACTTCTTGCATGGGCAGGGGTGGACTGACAACTCATTGGGCCCCCCGGGCAATAGGGGATTATTTATGGGGCCCTTGTTTCCTCGCGTGCACTCAAACCACACCCAAAAAATCCTATGAAAAAGGAACCAGGGGCATCTCATGGGGCCCACTACTGAACCCCCCCGGGCCCTCGGGCAGTGTCCGAGTTTCCAAATGGTCAGAAAGCCCCTGTGCATGGGCGCTCAGCTGGCCAGCACTTAAACCAGAGCCCTCTACATGTGGATGGAGAGAAAACTGACCTCGGGGATTTGACAAAGTTTATCTGCTATACACCAAGGAAAAGAGCTTCAATGAGAGCCTCTAACTTCTTGTCTACCAGATCTTTAACAAAGGATTATCATCTACAGGGTCACGAGGGTTAAGTTAAGATGCAAAATGGCAGGACCTACCACAGGAAGCACCCGAGAGAGAGAGAGCAAACTAAGGCAATTTGGGAGTGGGAGGGGTTATATGGGGGTGTCCCTGCAGCAGCTTTTTCGGGCAAGCATCTAATCATCTGAAAGTAGCTGCATATAGCCCAATCATAATGATTAAAGAGTCTGTGTCCTGCAATGTATAGCTATAAAAATACCTTGCAGTTATACTCTTATGGAAATATTGTATTTGAAATTAATGATCCAGTGGGACAGGATGTCTTACTGTACAATAGCAATGCCAAATGCAATTAGTCTTTATGAAGAACACTACAATGACTTCTCATATTTACCTTCCAGACATGAAGTCCAACAGCATACAGAGGAGTACTTTTTGAAATCACATTTCTTGAGTGGCTCCTGTATGTGCCATCATGAGTTTGTGGCCTTTGCATAAGTGCCAGATACACCTCACTTTGCTCCCTAACAAGCAACCAGAACTTAGGATTGTCAGTAAAACTGACATTATTACGGGATCCTCCTGCAGTCTGACCTTTGACCCAGGAACCGTACAATTGTTGAGTGTGGAGCAATGGACAATCTGCAACACAAGAAATTCACATGTAGGTACCATAAAACAAATACAGCGAAATGTGTACTAATAAGAAAATGTGGAGTGGGTGAGGTGAGCAAATTCAGACTACAATACTCATCTGGTGCCCGTTTCTGTGACAAGCAAAAATAAACAATTCCAGACAACATGTGAAATCAATCAGTAAGGACTCTAGTGCTACTTAGTAAACAGTGCAACAAATCTGTGTTCTCTATTGCAGTAAGATTTCACAGAGCTCTTCATATGCAGGCTGGGTAAGCGTACTTTATGTGCTGCACAACATGCCCCTCCTCTGCTTGATGCATTAGCAATTGGTTTCACCTCCAAGCTAGACTTGACTTCCTGGTGGCTAGTTGAAATATCTTACTGAAACTTTGATACATCAGGAAACAGAACGGAGTTTAAAAGAGGATTAAGTTTGGGACTACCAAACCTATATTACAAATAATTCTGCAAAAATAGGTTTTCACAGATCACCAACAAACATGAATGGGGTGAATTCAACTACTATGCCTGTATAAAAACAAACCAAAAAACATTAAGTAGTCCATCTATTGTATGCCAAGGTTTTATTTTTCACACGAATGTACCTTCAATGTCCCACCTCCCCTTTGCTTGCCTTCATCTGATCAATTTTTGCAGATCAGCACGAGTCCTGCTGATGAAGAAAAAAAAAAAAAAAAAAAAAATTCTCAGCCCTAAACATTAAGCTGGCTATAGATGGATCAAAATTCCTCCGGTTCAGCAGGGACTAGCTGAATTTCGATCCATCTATAGACAAACTGGTTGTACAGGAGCTTATCTCTCAATTGACCTCTGTACAACCAGTTTGTTGGAAAAGTTTTGCTTGATCAGTGTTGCCAGCTAAAGCGGACGTTCTGATGAATGTATTCGGACAGGCAGGGGAACTCTCCCCGCTGTCAGAACAAATACAATTGCTCCACACGAGGGATTCCTCCATCAACCTAAAACAGGGGTGCTCAACCTGTGGCCCGCGGCCCACATTTGGCCCTCGCAGCCCTCTGATGTGGCACTTTCAGAAAGTTGACCACAGCTGCAAGATATAAGAATAACCCACAGGTGCACTGCGCTGCACCAGCAGTGCTGCTAAACTGCAGTGCATCAGTGTGAAAGCAGCCTTATAAAGGGGCTCAGGACAGTAAGGGCTTGTTTACATTTGAGGTTTAGGTGGCAGTAAAACCCCACAGTTGAGACGTGTTTTTATGTTTTTACCCCCCCCCCCCCCCCCATCCACTGGTGGAGTTTAGGAGTCACAATGGTGTCCCCGACCCATGCTCTGGGAGCCTGTGTGGCCCTCCTGTCACATTCTGTTTTACACTTGGACAGGAGGGGCGGCACGTACAGGAACCTATCCTTTTCCTCCTGCAACTGCTGAAAGCCAGCTTCTCCTCCTCTCCCTCCTACCCACATTCAGTGGCCGCAGGAGGGAAAAAAATGTTAATTATGCTATTCAAAATAAAAACATTGAACCATTTCATTTCATTGTGGCCTGTGGCTGGTTACCAATTCACTTAAGTGGCCCTCACTTTTCAAAAGGTTGAGCATCCCCGACCTAAAATGTGTGGATGAGGAAATAGATTAATTTTCTTTGGTTCAACCTACTGGTTGGCCTGGCTTACTCTGTAAAGTCAGCAGAGTTTTGGCAGGTTTATGAATTCAAATATCTACCCTCAGTAGAATCCTTCTCTAACCACCTCAATACCGGGCACTTCCCCTCCCCCCCCCCCCCCCCCCCCCTGCCCAGGCCAATTTTCAGCTTTCAGCACTGTCAGACTTTGAATGATAATTAGTCATGCAACACTACCCTTATGAGATTGTTATTTTTTTTAAACAGATAGAGCTTTCTTTTGGTGGTATTTAATCACCACTGGGTTTTTTTTTTTTTTTTGCACTATAAATAAAAAATACACCGCAAATGTTGAAGAAAAAAAAAAAAAAAAAAAAAAAAAAAAAAAAAGTGTGTTTTTTTTTAGTTTCTGTTATAAAATTTTGCAAATAAGTCAATTTTCTTTATACATTTTAATCAAAATTTATACTGCTACATTTCTTTGGTAAGAATAACCCAAATCTGTGTGAACATTATAGAAAGTCTACAAGCTATGGTACCATTAATTGAAAATTGATCACACCTGATGTACTGAGGGCCTATCTCATTTCTTAAAGCCCCAACATGCCAGGACACTACAAATACCTCCAAAATTACCCCTCTTTGGAAAGTAGACAGTCTGGAGGTATTTAGTTTTTTGAAGTTGTAATTGTTTTCCACATTTTTTTGGAAAATGAAGAAATTAAATAAAATGTGTTTTTTTTTTTTTCCCACAAAAATGTCATCTTATCTCACATGCAGCATAGGCATACTTGCAATTACACTCCAAAACACATTCTTCTACTTCTCCTGAGTATGGCGATACCACGTGTGAAACTTTTTTACAGCCTAGCTACAAAGAGATGCCCAACATCCAAGGAGAACCTTGAGGCGTTATCCACTTTAAGACCAGGCCGCCTTCTGACACTTTTTGTTTGGAAGTAAAAATCAGTAATTTTGCTAGGAGCTTAGAACCTCCAAACATTAAATATTTTTTAGCAGAGGCCCAGGAGAATAAAATGGTGGGTTCTGCACATTTCTATACCACACAGTATTTGCGCAGCACGTTATCAAATGCAATTTTAGACACTGATCCAAAAATACACTTAAATACACTTTAATAAATTATAATGCACACAATACCCAATTTTTTTTGTCAAATATAAAATATGGTGTTGGGCCGAGTAAACAGATACCAAAAATGTCACGGTTTAAAATTGTACACTCTTGTGAAATGTTGCCAAACTTCTGTATTTAAAAATCTCCATAAGCAACAATTTAAAAGCATTTACAGGGGACCAGTTTAGAGTTACAGAGGAGGTCTGGTGGTTGAATTATTTCTCTCACTCTGATGATCGTGACAATACCCCACATGTGTGGTGTGATTGCCGTTTACGTATACGTACAGGACCAACATGTGCGTTCAGCTTTGCATGTGAGCATGGGGGGGGGGGGGGGGGGGGGGGGGTGGTTGTGAAATGGGGGTGCTTGAAATTTTTTTAATCTATTTATTGGTGGAACACTGGTACACTGACAGATGTTTTTGTGCACTTGTACACTCTGACAGATGTTTATTGTCCACCGGCGGACACCAACAGATGTTGAACTGGAACAATACTGCAATGTTTTTGTACACTGGTACACTATGACAGATGTTTTGTGCACTGTGACACTGGTGCAGATGTTGATGTGACACTGGTACAAGGACAGGGACAGATGGTGCTTGGTGTACTATGTGGGGGGATGGCTGCAATCTGTGTGTGCTCTGCATAGCTGAACTCTACAATCCTCAGTCATGCAGAGAGCGGTCACAGGCTGCAGCATCCCCCTCTTTCCCTCACTCTCTCTCTCTCTCTGACACAGAGACACATGTCTCTATTTACACTGAGTGAGGGACACAGCCACCACAGAATGCAAGTGTACAATCCAAACGCACACGTTCCTGCGTTAAACATGGCTGTGTGTATAAGTGGGTGCTGCAGCAACCGTCGGCTGGAACCAAACAGAATCAGCAAGGGAGAATGTCACCAGCACACAGAGGATCACCAATATGGTTCCAAACGTTTTAATGAACAATCACATAGTTACAGCACGGCAATGTTTCGGAGTCTCCCAGGACCCTTCGTTACATGCCTGATGAAGGGGTCCTGCGAGACTCCAAAATGTTGCCTTGCTGTAACTATGTGGTCTTTCATTAAAACGTTTGGACCCATATTGGTGATCCTCTGTGTGCTGGTGACATTCTCCCTTACAGCCACCACAGAATCACACCGCTGCTTGGTCCTGAGGCCACGCGAGGTGCAAATTCTGAGAGGACATTCAGGAACGTCCATTCAGAACGAGGAAAACTACAACCCGGCTGTTTATGAGCAGTGGCCAGGTGGGAAGTGGTTAATAAACCACTTCAACATGTGTCAATTGCTACAGTTGTTATAAAAAAAAAAAAAAAAAAAAAAAAAAAAGATCATTCTAATTAATGTTGGGTTCCCCTGTAAGGGAAAGACTGTTACGTGGCTATCACTTTGGGGAAAATATAACCTGACACCTGTTAGAATATCTGCACCATGGACATTCTATAATCACATTAGCTCACCTGTCCATATGCTTTGGATGTGCTCCATCTCATCCACTGGAAATGACATAATAACTTCGTTAAACTCTTGCAGAAATTCTTCTTTCTCTACCCAGAATTCTCCATCTTGAAGACCACAAAGAAACTTAGCACTTTCTGACTTGTCCATTAAGGCCCATTTATCACCTCTGAATAAAAAGGCAGAGTAAAGAACTTTAGAAATTCACACAGGAGGGTTCAGAGGTAGGTAGAAAAGGAATTAGTTTGGGGTGCACAGGAGAGCAAGGAGGGGATATACAGAGCTACGGAAGGTGGGTGCAAAGATGAGTAGAGGTGGCATGTAGAGTTAAGGTGGGGGGTGGTTGTAGTGGAGAGAATGGGGGAGGTTTGAGGTTAGAAGTTAATAGGGAAATGTAGAATGCAAAGGTGTACTGACGGGGTGGATAAAGATGTACGCCCCATGTAGCACATTAATTTCAATGGGCTGCTATATGTGCTAGAAAGCCACAGCACCATGAGTTTTGGTGCATGTAAAAACGTGCAGCTGCATGAGGGTGTCATTGTCATGGCATGGTTTGTGTATCTGCTACAGGGCAGCACTTTTCTGTGGTGTCAGGAAAGCGATTTAGCATTTTTGTGAACACATGCTAAATGTCTCAATTACATTGGTGGTCAGTGTATATCTTCTCATTACATTGGGACATGGTGTAGAATCCTTTCATTCACATTAGTGGTCAGTGTGAATGCCCCCTTACATTGTTGGTCAGTGTAAATCCCTCTTTATATTGGTGGTCACTGTGAATCTCCTATTACATGAGCGGTCATTGTAGATCCCCTTTACATGATGGCCAGTGCAGAAACTCTTCTTAATATTGGTAGTTGATTAAAAAAATCCTAACATTTGTGGTCAGTGTCGAATCCTACCTTACAATATAACGGGAGACAATACAGCAACAATACAGTTCAATACAAGAGGGATAGGAGGGCCCTGCTCTTTGGAGCTTATAATCTAGGAGGGAGGGGCCCTGCTTCTTGGAGCATTGGTTGTTCATGTAAAATCCTACATTACAATATGGTCTACAGTACAATATGGTCTTCAGCGCTTTTAGGAGGTGGAGATGTCATGCAGCAGGCAACACCCAAATTACAGTCCTCTGACTCACCCAAGCAGACAAACTGAGAGCAGATAAGTTTCTTGCAATAATGGTGCACTGGATTCACTAGACAATAGGTAACACCACACAGGTACGCGCTGCCCTCTTTAGACATGCATTGGTGCCATTAATTGTTAATGGCACCTCCACGCATGTGGCAAACGTGGGTGCATTCATGGCCCCCAAACCATATGGTACCACAGTACCATGTGGTTTGGTGCAGCGCAATTTTAAAAATCATGCCGTCTTAATATTTGTGCATTCCCGCACATTTGGCACTCCACTGAAATGAATGTGCTTTCAAGAATGCGCAAATCCATGCATGCAAATGCACTTCTGGTGTGAACCAGCCCATAGCAGGACTGCATGTGAACACACAGAGGCACAGACAAGAATACAGGCTAGGAGTGCACAGGTGCTGATAACGAGAGGCTGACTGATGCTCACACAGAAACACACTGCTGCAGAGAAATGACTGAAGTGTAGCGGGAGACATGGTGGTGAAGAAAGAATTGATGCTGGCAGGAGTACACAGGGTAACCAAACAAGACACAAACTGGGGAACACTGGAATCACATGGCTGGATGCAGGCTAGGACATGCTGGATACACTGATGACAGTGGGAAACATGGGGGATCATTGGAAGCACACAGGACCTGGGTACAGACTAGGATGGACAACTGAAACACTCAAAGTCATGGAAATAACACTGGGAGGCAAAGGGAACCACTTAAAAAGTTGCAAGGTAGCACAGGGGGTCCAACTGCTAGTGTGTGGACATGTGGCTGAAGCAGCAAGGAGCGGGCACCGGCCCCTTTATGCTTGGCCACAAACTGGCTGAGGTGTTAGCAGACACTGATTGGCTGCATGCCAGTAGCCTCATACAGGGGAGAAATCCTACACTGGAGCATAGAAGAGGTGAGTGTAATATGTTTACCTTATAAAAAAGTATTTAATGCATTTCTTTCCTTATAGTGAAACTTTACCCGTAACAACTTGATAAAAAAAAAAAAAAAAAAAAAAAAAAAAAAAAAAAAAAAAAAGACAAAAACCACACACATTCCACATTTATAATTCTGCTACCAAAATTAGTGTGTGCTGAAAACTGCCTCCAACATTGCTCCCATTTCTTCTTGCCAGAGGCTGCCATTTTGGTAAAGCCCTGAGTCCCTGAACAGCAATAATTCTTTAAGCCATCAGCAGATCAGGCTCTACAAATGTGTACAGCAGGGTGAGACAGTGTATTAAATATTGGATGAAGCGCTCTGCTATAATAGTGCTATATACAAAAATCAAAATATTATACACATATGTAAAAGTGACTAGTGCTTAAATAATGTGTTAAAATTATCTAAAAAATTCATATGAGACCAGTCTGCCCCCAAGTGGCTAAAACTGGTTATACATGTGCACACACAACAAAATAGAAGGTGACCAAGTGCTTAAGTACATAAATAGTGTCTTAATAAATATAATAAAAATAAAAATCACAGTGAATAATCTTAAAAAGTGCCAAGTGTTTAAATAACAATCAATCTACATATAGTATAATCATGTGCAAAAAAAAAAAAAAAAAAAAAAAAAAAAAAAAATGCGATCACTCTTCTGTGAAAATATATAAGTGCTTCTTCATTCAAATAGTGCTCAGACCAAAGCATCACTCCAGTAAATCAATCCTAAATATCCAGAGTGCCTCCTCACCTCCAACATTCGACCCCTAGGAGGTCACAAATCATTTATTTAAATGATGTTCCAAAAAACGACACCAGGATAGAACTTGCCCCACGATTCAAAATCTCAATATATACGATGCCTCAGCCATATGTCCATGGATCATGGAAGATTTAAGCACAAAGAGAGATCTCCATAGCGCAATATGTAATTTTATTATTATAAAGAAAAAAACAGATTGAAAACTCACATGCTCTTAGAAGTATACAAGCGGTTCCCCCATATCCTATGGGTGTAATAGGAAATCATGTTTGCCGAAAACATCATTTAAATAAATGATTTGTGACCTCCTAGGGGTCGAATGTTGGAGGTGAGGAGGCACTCTGGATATTTAGGATTGATTCACTGGAGTGAAACTTTGGTCTGAGCACTATTTGAATGAAGAAGCACTTATATATTTTCACAGAAGAGTGATAGCATGGTTTTTTTTTTGCACATGATTATACTATATGTATATTGTTGTTTTTAAAACACTTGGCACTTTTTAAGATTATTCACTGTGATTTTTATTTTTATTATATTAAGACACTATTTATGTACCGAATTTTCCAGCGTATAAGACAACCCCCTACTTTTCCTGCTAAAATGTAGTGTTTGGGCTATACTCGCCATATAAGACTACCCTTCTTCCAATGCACTCCAGTGGGAGGAATAGCGCCCCGCCGTCGGTGTCAGTGGGGGGAGAAATAGCGCCCCGCCGTCGGTGTCAGTGGGGGGAGGAATAGCGCCCCGCCGTCGGGGGTCAGTGGGGGGAGGAATAGCGCCCCCGTCGGTGTCAGTGGGGGGAGGAATAGCGCCCCGCCGTGGTGTCAGTGGGGGGAGGAAATAGCGCCCCGCCGTCGGTGTCAGTGGGGGGAGGAATAGCGCCCCGCCGTCGGTGTCAGTGGGGGGAGGAATAGCGCCCCGCCGTCGGTGTCAGTGGGGGGAGGAATAGCGCCCCGCCGTCGGTGTCAGTGGGGGGGAGGAATAGCGCCCCGCCGTCGGTGTCAGTGGGGGGGAGGAATAGCGCCCCGCCGTCGGTGTCAGTGGGGGGAGGAATAGCGCCCCGCCGTCGGTGTCAGTGGGGGGAGGAATAGCGCCCCGCCGTCGGTGTCAGTGGGGGGAGGAATAGCGCCCCGCCGTCGGTGTCAGTGGGGGGGAGGAATAGCGCCCCGCCGTCGGTGTCAGTGGGGGGAGGAATAGCGCCCCGCGCCGTCGGTGTCAGTGGGGGGAGGAATAGCGCCCCGCCGTCGGTGTCAGTGGGGGGAGGAATAGCGCCCCGCCGTCAGTGGGGGGAGGAATAGCGCCCCGCCGTCGGTGTCAGTGGGGGAGGAATAGCGCCCCCCGCCGTCGGTGTCAGTGGGGGGAGGAATAGCGCCCCGCCGTCGGTGTCAGTGGGGGGAGGAATAGCGCCCCGCCGTCGGTGTCAGTGGGGGGGAGGAATAGCGCCCCCGCCGTCGGTGTCAGTGGGGGGAGGAATAGCGCCCCGCCGTCGTGTCAGTGGGGGGAGGAATAGCGCCCCGCCGTCGGTGGGGGGAGGAATCAGTGGGGGGGGAGGAATAGCGCCCCGCCGTCGGTGTCAGTGGGGGAGGAATAGCGCCCCATCGTCGGTGTCAGTGGGGGGAGGAATAGTGCCCCATCGTTGGTGTCAGTGTCACCAATGATGGGGCACTATTCCTCCCACTGACACCAATTACACTTGCTGACCGATGTTCTAGTATGGTGCTACTGCAGCCAGCATATGTGGTTGCAGCAACACCTCTACACTGCACACTTACCGGCCGCTCCTTCACTCGATTTTTGCGGGGCCGCTCAGCTCCGCCCCTTCACCGGTGATTGGCCGCCTGTGTGCCTTTCCTGAGCTACAGTTCTGGCAGCCAATCACCGGTGAGGAGGCGGAGCCGAGCAGCCTTGCGAACATCCAGTGGCCGAACTGAAGGAGCAGGAAGGAGATTCCTGGACCGGATCGTCGTGGGACCGGATCCAGGTAAGAAACAGCAGCCCCTGCCCACCCCTGTACTTAGTGTCCCTTCCGATGGAAGGGGGGGGGGGGGGTGGCACCGCCCCCCTAAAAAGTGTCAGTATGCCGTATACCGGCGTATAAGACGACCCCCGACTTTTGAGAGGACTTTCAAGGGGTAAAAAGTCGTCTTATACGCCGGAAAAATACGGTACTTAAGCACTTGGTCACTTTCTATTTTGTTGTGTGTGCACATGTATAACCAGTTTTAGCCACTTGGGGGCAGACTGGTCTTATATGAATTTTTTTATATAATTTTAACACAAATATTATTTAAGCACTAGTCACTTTTACATATGTGTATAATATTTTGATTTTTGTATATAGCACTATTATAGCAGAGCACTTCATCCAATATTTGATATTTATTTTGTGTGTCCCATGGTATATGATAGCAGCTAGCTATATTTAGGGAGACTGTGGAGCACAGGAGGATATTTTTATTTGTCTATGAGACAGTGTATTACTAGATTTTAAACAGACTAGGCACTTATTTTAATGTTTTACATACTCATAGCTGCAAAAAATTGACCAAACTGAAGTGATCTGGCAGGTCTTAAATTTTCTGACTTTGACAGTTACAAATCGCAGGACAAGTCGCACCCCATTGCTGGCAATGGAACCATTCAAACTGGTGTGACTCCAACATTTTCAGATTCGCCCAGAGTTTGAAAATAGTTACTGCACTATTTTCAGCGATTTCAGGTGCAATCTACATAGACATCTGTGCATGAAGTCGCACAGATGTCAGGTAAGTTGCACCTGAAACCGCACTGACCTGCAGCTTTGAAATCGTGCAACTTCAAGTGAAGTAGCACAATTTCAAAGTCGTATTCAGTGTGAAACCAGGGCTAACAGTTCCACTGTAATAAAAATTTGCAATTGCTACTTACTTCCTCCCCCATGCTCCACTCCAGCAGCTTCGTCCCCAAGGATTATGCACACGTATTAAAATCAACTCCTGCCCATAATTTGTGACTCCTTGCTGGATATCTGTGATTGTGAAGGCATGAAATTCACCTAAATCTCCAGCACCTAAAATATAGATTGAGATAATGCCATATTAAAAAATTACAAACAGAAGAATTATATTTTTGTGCTTAATGTAAGGCCTGTTTCACATGAGCACCAGCTTCTTTAAGAGCAGTGTGAACAGCAAGCTTGGGCAAAGCATTTGCAGAGCTTTCAGCACGCTTTATTAAAGCTTTTAAAAGTACCATTCAACTCCAGTTTTGTAAATGTTGAACACAGATCTTAATGGGAGTGTTGATTTCCACTTTAAAGCAAGCCGCTAGCAGGCTTCCAACAAGCTTCAGGAAGGGCTGAAGCCTGCTGGCAGATTGTTTAAAGTGGAAATCAGAGCTCCCATTAACATCTGTGTTCATCATTTACAAACTGGAGTTGAATGGTACTTTTAAAATCTTTAATAAAGCTTGCTGAAAGCTCTGCAAATGCTTTGTCAAAGCTTGCTGTTCACACCGCTCTTATACAAGTTGAAGCCCATGTGAAACAGGCCTAAAATCCCAACTCCAATGAAGGACACAAAGTCTTTCAACTGTGGGTTCTACTGCTGCCTACTGGAGGAGTGAACACACCAAACTAACGAAAAAATATAAGCCAGTTCAAAACCTGGCATCAGACAAGACCACAGCCTCAACCTGGTAGCAGAGCCAGCCGACCCCACCCCCCTGCTCAGCGTCAATGATAGTGTGTGCCATGTGCAACAGCAGTATGTAGTGTCTGTGTTAGTCTAGGTTCACACCTAAGCAGTTTGCAGAAACGCACTACAGTTCATTTAACATGATTTCCTATGGGAAACATTCACATCTCTGCATTTTCACCAGGTGTGTTTTTTGGAAAGGGTCAGGGACTTTAAATGCAAGATGTTGCGTTTTGGTTCAAGAGAATTCAATGGAGACCCTGCAGAAATGCATGTAGTGCAATTTTATGTGTTTTTGACACGTTTTGCATTTTAATTTGCCCAGCAACAGATTGACAAAAGAAAAAAAAGCAAAACTCATCAAAACACGTCAAAAACGCAAAGTACAAAACAAGCACTGCAAAAACGGATCAAAACGCAAACTGCATAGGTGTGAATCCAGCCTTAAGCAGCATGTAGAGAAAGTGCAATGAACATTATGCAGTGCAGGGGTGTGAGCAGCAAGAAATGGCAATGCATAACTGAGAAATGTGGCACCAGAGCTTGATTCAAGATAGCAGCATGGGAGGACAGCAAAGTAAGGAGAACTTTGCCTGCAATACAAAAATGAACTCCATGGACTAATACGGAAGTTTTTTTTGTTTTTTATACATAAGTGTTATGTATGTTAAATTTCATTACTGATAGGTTGGATGGAGTTCCTCTTTAAAGTGGCAGTAAAGTCTTGTTTGTTTATTTATACCTACAAGTAAGCCTATAACAAGGCTTGCCTATAGGTACAGTATATATCTTCTAGGCGTGCACCATTTAGGAGACATTTACTTTAGCAGCATTGGTGATGTCACTGGCGCATGTACACTTGCTCTCAATGGATGGTATGCCATCCATTGAGAGAGCCATGAAGTGGATAAGACTCCTGCGTGCATGGACAGGAGTGACATCATCGCAGCTCAGCCAGTCAAACGGGCCGCATCCTGCAAACCCATAAGGAAGACAAAGTAAAAAGGGAAGCCCCGGGGAGCCATGACAGCAGCACTCTACTGGAGGGCTTTGTTTTCAGGTATGTCTTTCATAATGTTCTAGTATGCGATGCATACTAGCACATTATGCTTTGAACTTGCAAGGGGAAGATTAATTTGTTTTATTTTTTTTGCGGTTTACTACTGCTTTAAACTGTCAAGTGCAGCTACTGTACATAAATACAGGAAACTGTGACTATTTAGCGGTGTGAGATGTGCATGTGGGAATATTTCTACACTCTCTGAAATGGTATACAGCTCATAGTTGTCAAGTTCTGTGCTAGTAAATAGGCTGTTCACACTTTAAAATAATCTAGGAATATCTTGCCATCACCCTAAAGGGTATAGAAATGGACAGACTACACAGTCAGTGGAAAAGCCAAAGTTATACATAGGGATGAGTTTGAAAGAAAAGACAAGTGTGGAAGGGCCCTTAAAAAGGCACAAAAAAGTAAGAATGCAGTAAACCAATTCATAGACTTCTCTCCTACCTTCTTTACTGTGCAGCACAGAACAACTTATTGCACAACGATCCTTCAGGTCCAACATTCTGCAAAGCATTTTCTTCCGGATGCTGATCTCTGCATCTTCTAAGGACCATCTTTCTACCAACCCACCAGTCAGATCTACCAAAGCATCAACAACTTGACCTGCCCACAGAGACTCATAGGAGCCATGTAACCTGCCAATACATAAAATAAACATATGAAATAAAATGTGCTTGCTAAAAGGTGTGTTAAGTATATGTGTACAGATCTACACCACAAGCGAGCGCTTTCTAAAGGACTTTGTTTCATCAGATACAGCTGACTTCTCAGCCCAAACAGCCATACCTAGAATGGTGTATAGGTCTTTGGTTTGACATATTACCTGGACTTTGTCCATTAAATGTCACTTAAGAAGGACTCACCAGTGGTCCTGTCAATTTGTCTATCGCAGTTGATGGTTGACACTTGTTGCTACTAATGTCATTCACTTTTCTGAAGCAAACTAAGTTGGGGTGCTGTGGAGACTCTTTATCACCACAAATTACACAATATAATGCTGTGATAGCCATGGGGAGTCATAAGCTCTGCTGTTGTTTGATGTTTCTCAGCAGGTTCTCAAATTGTATTCTTTACTTAAAGGAGACCTGTATAAATAAAAGTGTATGAGTTGCCATTTCTGCACTCTTATTCAATAAATGTTAGTTGCCTGGCTTCCCCATGGACCCAATGGCTTCCCTACTTTTAGGGTCACTGACTCAGAAGAAGTAAGCAGACTAAAATGTATTACGTTGCTAGAAGATAGAAGCACGAGGGGCACATCACACTGAAGGTAAGTAACATTCTTTGTGATAATTCTGGATTATTTTTATTTAGTTGGTAAAATTAAAAGGGGCCTTGTCCCCGGCTCTCTGTTAAGGATTGGCAACTTTGGGGAACGGGGGGTGGGATGGGTCACATAAATTTGACAGGTACCCATCCCCACTTCCACTGCAATCGCCTAGGTCGGTCATCCATCCTCCCCCCCCCTCCCTCTCCATAGTCTTCTGGGACACATGACAAGTCTCAGAAGGGAACATTCACAAAAAGTGCAGCACCCGACTGTGAAGCTGCAATCTGTCATAGCCAGATGCCCACAGTGAAGAAGCCAACGCCAGGGACACAGGACGGCCGGTGAACCCAGCTGCAGTGAGAACACCGCTGCATCGAGGAACAGGTGAATGTGCTTTTTAAAAGTCAAGTTTTTGTAGCTGCTGACTTTTATTTTAATTTAAACTTTGACTGGAGCTCTGCTTTAACAGTTTAAAGACATAAGTGTTAAGCGTTGTCACCCTAGAAGTATAGGATAACTCATTCCCTCCATATTTCATTATAGGGGGGGGGGGGGTTTCTGTACTTCTCAGAGTGCTGGGAGCCATGGTAACTGATGACTGCAGCACATGCAGAGAACACGGAAGTTATCAACTCACAACATATTTGCCAGAATCAACAGGTATTTGTTTGCACGTATCAAGCATTTATAACTATAAAATTCAGTGGTGCCGAGGGGAACCAAATTATGTTATCAAATCCAGATATCTTATTTTACAGCACTGCAAGGATTTGGCCCCACTCTTCTCTGCTACATTTGAAGCACTGCAGCTTGGTGAAGGCCTGTCCAAGCCTGTGATTAGATATTAACGATGCATCAACCCACTGGTGAGATAATTCAAGCTATACACTGCGCAATTTTCTCTCAATTAGCCCATAGACTTAACGGGAGAAAAAAAAAAAAAAAAAAATCGATTCCCCCATCCACACTAAACAGCATGGATGGAGAAAATGCCACTGCCAGCTAATGCTTTCAGCAGTCACAGCACCCACAGCTGCCTAAATACAGTTGTGCTGCTGAACACTGACTGAATATAAAAAAGGTACGGTCACTTTTTGGCCCATAAGGTTATATCTGGCTCAGTCAAATTTTTTAATTTCTTTTGTTGAGCTAGATGGTGCTTGCAGGGCCACCCACAGATCAAATTCCAGCTGTCTTTGGTCTGCCTTCTTACATCAGTTGTCCCCTTTCACAGTGCACCCCTACATTAGATGTCCTCATCACCTTTTAGCGCCAGGCATAGAGAAGGTGAGAGCTGATAGGTGGAGCAGACTTCAGGTCTGGATGAAGAAGTTCCACTTCAATCCTCCTGTGTAGGGTGGGGCATTCACATGACATAATTATTAGGACTACGGACGTCCTAACAACTAATCACTGCAGAGTAGGGGATGGGGGACCTTTGCCAGGGACTGGCAGTCCACATACAACTGTCACTCAGTCTGGTTCCAGACCGCCCTCCACCATTTTGGGATGTCTATTATATAAAACATTCACCAAAGGGCGGACTGACCATTCAGGCACTCGGGCACTGCCCGAGGGCCTGGGGTCAGTAGGGGGCCCCATGAGATGACCCTGGTACCTTTTTATAGGCTTTTTTGGGTATGCTTTGAGTGTGGGCAAGGACACAGGGGCCCCATGATCCCCTATGGCCCTGGGGCCCCATAAGTTGTCAATCTGCCCCTGCATTCACCTATAACCTAGAAAATTTGCAATCAGATATCACATGACAGAAGAGCAATAACAAATATGGCATACTTGGCATATGCTTTCTCCAAGAGTGGAAGCCAGAACGCTCCCTGGTCTTGACAATGGGAGAAGCAGAGCTTTTGTCCCAAGCATGGTAAGCAGTCATCAATGGTCACCTCCACCCAATATCCAAATTGCCAAAATCTGCAAGTAAATCGTCCTGTGTATCCAGGTTTATTCCATGTACACTGTCCTGTGGGAAACACCTTTGGAGAAGAAAACAGCTGAAGATCAGAAAGCATATTCTGGAATGGGAACAAACATAAAACAGGTGATGTACATTATTAACAGCTTCGGCACTAGAGCAATTTTTTAAATCTTTTGCACAAATGTGAATATCTGAATTTTTGGGTATAAAGCAAAAAGATAGTTGAATTTTTTTTTTTCTTTATATCTTGCATGACATTTGTGCAACTATTTATCGAAGGCATATTTACAGGAAAATATATAATAATATTAATTTTCAGTGCAAACACACATATATGATAAGATACCCAATTTTTAGGTAAGATACCAGTATATAAGACAAGGTTCCATCCAGTAAATAGATACAAAACATGTCAAATCTTAAAATTGTGTGCGCCTGTGATATTGCAAAAGACTAGAGTACCCAAAAATTTCCATAGGCAACATACAGTTCATCTATTTGGAATAACCTGTGAGCTCAGGTGCTAGAATTATTGCTTTCACTCAGAAGTTCGCAACAACACCTCACATATGTGGTGTGATCTTGGTTTACAAACACCTCTATACCCCGGGCATGCGTTTGAGTGTGTGTGCATGGCAGATGGGATATCCGTTAATTATTTTTTAAATTGAATGTTGTTATCACAAGGAGTTAACATACAAGCATTGGGCAGGTGACAGGTACTCTTTATAGAAACATTTAATAGACCTCGATGTCTCCTTCCCTCCAAAGCATGGACTGTGCAGAGATCTACACAGTTACATGCTTTCTTAACTATATCTACCATGGAAAGACTGTTCTGAAACCGGAAGTGAAGTAATCCTTGTCACTTATGGTTTCATTTTATGCAGAAGAGAACGAAACAGATGCTGTTTGGTCTCCTACAGCGCCCACTATTTGGAAGCCCTCCAACGTGGTCACAGGCTCCAGGTAAGAGCAGGAGAGTCCGGGAACCATGTGGAGGGAGAAGGGACTGGCAGGGGGCCATATCGCCCACACTGGAATAGTGAACAGCAACTATACAGCCGCTGAATCACTTTTATCTTACAGCTGGTAACCAGCTATAAAAAAGAAACACATTGCTATTGCAGCCATCAGCTTGTGCTTACCCCTTTGCTTTTTAGACTTACTTAGTACATCCAAAGAGCTGAACAGATTAATAATAAGGTTAGTGAAATAATAAAAAATACTCCCGCGCTAAGCTGGATACCTATATATAAGCTGCTCACACTCGCCTTAACCACAAGGAAACATATAATACCAGAAAAAATTAGTGAAGCGCTAGCGTAACACACTATTCTAAATACCTGTATCAGAATACTCATATATATAACATACAATGAAAGCACAACGTCATGAATAAATAATCATATTATAATATACAGTGCATGTGCTCATTTAAATTGATGCTATGTGCAACAAGTCCATATAGATATTCAAGCTTTGGTGAAAAACCCACAAACTCTGTGAGGTGATCACAGTGCCACTCTATGTGCAAATAATCCACAGATGGCCAAGATGGCCCCACACCTCCTTATTGCGACCCTACGGGTCAACACGCTGTGTAGATAACCCACATGCACCAATCTAGGTATCATCAAGAATGGAATACTGGGATGAAAAAGCTTTACTCCTTTAGTTCCTATCTTCTCCTCTATCCAGGATACTCGACTCCACAAAAACATGTGTGTGTGTATATATATATATATATATATACATACATACATACATATACTCGGCTGTCCCAGGTCTCTGCCTTCTTATTGGCTGAGACAGCAAGTTGGAGCTATTGGCTCCCACTGCTGTCAATCACACCCAGTCAGGCAATGAGGAAAGAGGAGGCGGGGCCATGTTGCAGCTCCGTGTGTGTGTGTGTGAATGGACACATGGAGCAGCGGGTGCCCCATAGCAAGCTGCTTGCTGTGGGGGGCACCTGAGAGGAGGGAGCAGCCAGGAGAGTCTGTGGGGGACCTGAGGAGGATCCAGGCTGCTCTGTGCAAAACCACTACACAGAGCAGGTAAGTATAGACATGTTTGTTATTTTACTAAAAGAACAGAAAATTAAACTTTTAGAATCGCTTAACTGAGTTTGATTACCACTTTAACCAGCCACAGAACCTGTGTAATTGTTATGTGGTCGGTTTTAAAGGGATGAGGTGGTGACCCTAGCGGTACCTCACATTGCGGTGAAACATGCGCTTTCCCACAACATGGCAGTGTGTCCAGGGCCTACGACATACATGGAGCCTTGTACCTGGTGAAGAAGCTTTGTGGATTTCTGTAGAGCGAAGCAGGCAGATATAAACCAGCAGTCACCCAGTATCCCCTGCCTTCCCAATCCAAGCCTGGGGTCTTCTGTGAACAGACGAGGGGACGGCCAGACCTCCTAAGAGAGGGAAGACACAACAACACCCACTGAGCAATCACTTCATCCAGATACAGGAGGACACTGACTGAGGGAGGGGCTCACCTGGGGTCTCAGCCATGTAATGCGCTCACACAGAGGGGACAGAGGGGTACCCCCTCTCCGGACTAAGGAGGACACACACGGGGGGAAATCGGGGTCCACAAAGAGCCCCGAGGTGGGAGGCGGCATGTCACCTGCAGGAAGTCAGCGTATGGCATCTCCATCAGGCCCCCCTCACCAATACACACGATAACGGGGTGACCTGGAGGAGAGGCCACTGACACTGCATGACCCCGAGCACAGGGGACACACAACCCGGGACGTCCCCCAACACACCGCTTCTTGTATCACACAGCACGTCCCCCATCCCACTCTGCATCCACCAGGCACCCCGCCGCCAACCAATCACAAAGCTTCACACACAAGCCTGGATGATAGATGAACTAGTATTGGACTGGGCGCTGCGGCTGTGGATTGGCTGCCGCTCACACGTGGGCGTGCCTCTGCTGTAACCCTTGTGTGCCATCTCCCTGCAGTCAACTGTTATGTGTGAATGGTGACAGCCGCATGGAGTTTGGTGATGGGCTGTGATTGTAGTGATGGCTGGACATACTGTAGGCGTGTAGAACTTGGGGAGAATTTACTGCATGCTGATTACTCAGCTTCTGGCCTCTGTGGGGTTCATTGTGTCATAGTGCATGAAAGCCATGCCTCAATCTCAGCTGTGTCCGCTGTAGGAGTCAGCTGCACTGAATGTGCCTTTCTATTCCTTTGTTTCCTATTGCCCACTCCACCTTTCTTCTTCATGTTCCTCAGGGTCCAGGGTGTTCAGGGCTTACAGCAAGATCTGTGCCCCCTGGACTGCATCCACTATCTAGCCCCGTGGTGCCCAGCCTGTGGCCCATGGACCACATGTAGCCTTCTGGCACATTTTGTGCTGCCCTCTGGGCCACTACAAGTATTGATCTGTCTTTCCTTATTCTGTTGTAGCAACGAGCTGCAGCAATCTCATGTAATGTATCTTGAAACAGGTTATCAGTATCCAGCAACTCGTATATCATGGCCACGTTCTCCTGCAACATGTCTGCAGTCTCTGACCATCTCCTGTATCATGCCTGCAGTCTCTGACCATCTCCTGTATCGTGCCTGCAGTCTCTGACCATCTCCTGTATCGTGTCTGCAGTCTCTAACCATCTCTTGCATCGTGTCTTCAGTCTCTGATCATTTCTTGTATCGTGTCTCCAGTCTCTGACCATCTCTTGTATCGTGTCTCCAGTCTCTGACCATCTCTTGTATCGTGTCTCCAGTCTCTGACCATCTCTTGTATCGTGTCTCCAGTCTCTGACCATCTCTTGTATCGCTGTCTCCAGTCTCTGACCATCTCTTGTATCGTGTCTCCAGTCTCTGACCATCTCTTGTATCGTGTCTCCAGTCTCTGACCATCTCTTGTATCGTGTCTCCAGTCTCTGACCATCTCTTGTATCGTGTCTCCAGTCTCTGACCATCTCTTGTATCGTGTCTCCAGCCTCTGACCATCATCGTGTCTCCAGTCTCTGACCATCTCCTGTATCATGCCTGCAGTCTCTGACCATCTCCTGTATCATGCCTGCAGTCTCTGACCATCTCCTGTATCATGCCTGCAGTCTCTGACCATCTCCTGTAACGTGTCTGCAGTCTCTGACCATCTCTTGCATCGTGTCTGCAGTCTCTGACCATCTCTTGCATCGTGTCTTCAGTCACTGATCATTTCTTGCATCATGCCTTCAGTCTCTGACCATCTCTTGTATCTTGCCTTCAGTCTCTGACCATCTCTTGTATCTTGTCTCCAGTCTCTGACCATCTCTTGTATCTTGTCTCCAGTCTCTGACCATCTCTTGTATCGTGTCTCCAGTCTCTGACCATCTCTTGTATCGTGTCTCCAGTCTCTGACCATCTCTTGTATCGTGTCTCCAGTCTCTGACCATCTCTTGTATCGTGTCTCCAGTCTCTGACCATCTCTTGTATCGTGTCTCCAGTCTCTGACCATCTCTTGTATCGTGTCTCCAGTCTCTGACCATCTCTTGTATCGTGTCTCCAGTCTCTGACCATCTCTTGTATCGTGTCTCAAGTCTCTGACCATCTCTTGTATCGTGTCTCAAGTCTCTGACCATCTCTTGTATCGTGTCTCAAGTCTCTGACCATCTCTTGTATCGTGTCTTCAGTGTCTGACCATCTTTTGTATCGTGTCTTCAGTCTCTGACCATCTCTTGTATCGTGTCTTCAGTCTCTGACCATCTCTTGTATCGTGTCTTCAGTCTTTGATCATCTCTTGTATCGTGTCTTCAGTCTCTGACCATCTCTTGCATTGTGTCTGCAGTCTCTGACCATCTCCTGTATTGTGTCTGCAGTCTCTGACCATCTCTTGGATCATGTCTGCAGTCTCTGACCATCTTCTGTATTATGTCTGCAGTCTCAGAGCACTGTTGGGGCCATAATCCGGAAGTGGAAAGAACATCGTAAACCGGCCACGACCAGGTGCCCCTTGCAAGATTTCTAACACAGGAGTGAACAGAATTATCAGAAGAGTTGTCCAAGAGCCAATGACCACTTGCGGAGAGCTTCAGGAAGACCTGGAATTAGCAGGCACAATTATTCCAACGAAAACAATAAGTAATGCACTCAACCACCATGGCCTGTCTGCATGATCACCACGCAAGACTCCATTGCTGAAGAAAAAGCATGTTGAAGCTCGTTAAAGCTCCGTTCACACCAATCCATTTTTTAGTGCTTTTTGCAGAAACGCACTACCGTCCATTTAACATAATTTCCTATGGAACATGTTCACATCTACACTTTTTTGAGCTGCTGCGTTTTTGGAAAGGGTCAGTGACTTTTTTAAAAGCAAAAAGCAAACTTTTTGCTACAATAGTTCAATTGAGAATCTGCTGAAATGCATGGTAGTGCGTTTTTGCCGCATTTTGCATTTTTATTCTGCCCAACAACGAAAATAGTTCCACTTTAACAAAAAAAAAAAAAAAAAAAAAAGTGAACAAAACACTAAATGCAGTAAAAAAACACGTCACAAATGCACCAGAAACGCAGAAAAATGTAGAAAAATGCAAAAAGAACTGCAAAATGGACAAAAAAGCAAACTGCATAGGTGTGAACGGAGCCTTAAAGTTTGCTGCACAACATTTAGGCTCCGTTAACACCTATGCATTTTTCTACATGCGTTTTTACAGTGTTTTGTTCAGCTCTTTTTTATTTTTTTTGTTAAAGTGGATTTTTTTTTCGTTGCTGGGAAGAATAAAAATGCAAAATGCAAAACACAGCACCATGCATTTCAGCAGTTTCTCCATTGAACTCTCTTGTAGCAAAAAAGTCCTTGACCCTTTCCAAAAATGCAGCCACTCAAAAAAACATAGCTGTGAGCATGTTCTATAGCAGTGGTGGGCAACCTTTTTTTTCAACTGAGCCAAATCTCGCCAAAACCACGATTTAAATTTATTTTGAGAGCCACATTTTTAAAACTGAAAATACATCCCCCATAGTAATTCATCCCCCATAGTAATTCATCCCCCATATAGTAATTCATCCCCCCCATAGTAATTCATCCCCCCATATAGTAATTCATCCCCCATATAGTAATTCATCCCCCATATAGTAATTCATCCCCCATATAGTAATTCATCCCCCATAGTAATTCATCCCCCATATAGTAATTCATCCCCCATAGTAATTCATCCCCCATATAGTAATTCATCCCCCATAGTAATTCATCCCCCATATAGTAATTCACCCCCCATATAGTAATTCATCCCCCATAGTAATCCCCCCATAGTAATTCATCCCCCATATAGTAATTCATCCCCCATATAGTAATTCATCCCCCATATAGTAATTCATCCCCCATAGTAATTCACCCCCCATATAGAATTCATCCCCCATATTAATTCATCCCCCATATTAAGTCCCCAAGTCCCCCCTGTGTCAATTCACTTACCTTTGCTCCGCGCGCTCCTCTCGCCGTGTTCCCGCGCCGTTCCGGTGTAGCATGAAAATCTGTCTCCTATGAGGATCTGTCCCCCTCGACGTATCTGTGCATGTGCCAGTTTCAGGCATTAGCAGCCGATCGGCGATCTCCGGCACATGCGCAGATACGTCGAGGGGGACAGATCCTCATAGGAGACAGATTTTCATGCTACACCGGTCTTCAGGGCGGACTGTGAGAGGAGCCTAGCGGGAGCCTAGCTCCGCGGGCCGAATTAAAAGGTCCGCCGGGCCGTAGCTTGCCCATTGCCTGTCACCTGGTGGGCAGTGTGCTCCGGAGCCGCAGCCAAGGTGAAAAAGAGCCGCATGCGGCTCTGGAGCCGCGGGTTGCCGACACCCGTTCTATAGGAAGGTACAAGTGAATAAAGGTGTTGCGCTGCTCATAACAAACAATATTGTGAAAATGAACCGTGAATAAATCAAAGGGGCAATCTCCAATGTGACTATAGTCCACACAAATGATTTAAAAAACTCTTCAAACATTCCAGAAAGAGAAGATGATTTCCCTACTGGTGACTGCACCCAGAATCCCAGTTCTGCAAATCATCAATACACGTGAATCAGCAGAGTGAACATAGAGGTCCAGGTGGACCCTCAGCTTCTCACATGGACCTGTATGTGAACACAGGTCAGATAGGCATCTCCCCTATTAGTGGTGCGTGATGATATGCGTGGGGAGGAGTCGGGTGACGTCAGCACTGCAACTCCCTTGTTTTTTTTTTTTCTCTCTGAATGGAGGAGAGAGATTCTCTCTCTCTCTCTCTCTCTCTCTCTCTCTCTCTCTCTCTCTCTCTCTCTCTCTCTCTCTCTCTCTCTCTCTCTCTCTCTCTCTCTCTCTCTCTCTCTCTCTCTCTCAAAAAGTAGATTGATTAAATAACTATATAGTAAAAAATAAAGAAGTAAATACCTAGATCAAGGTTTGATCTAGTTCAGTGCCAGGGTTAGTGTATGAGTCAAGGACAAAGGTCAGGATTTTTTTTTAATTGGTGTCAGTGTGTTTTAGGTAAAAAAACAAACCAAAATGCGCACTATTGTTTCTGGGCTGTAGTAGAGGTACAAATAACATACACATATATGGTATCGCTATGATCATCAAGAGCTGGAAAATTTATTTTGGGTTGGTCTTTGGTGGTAGGTTATGGTAGTACCAAGAAACACACAGCTAAATTTGAAAAAAATTATTATTTTTTTTTTTACTATTTTGGGTCAGTTTTCCTTTGATAATAAAAAAAAGTCAGGAGATATCCATTATCATTTACCACCAAATGAAAGCCCAATTTGTCCTTAAAAAAAACAAGGTAGACTTCACCTGGATGTACAAAGTAGTTGTGATGAAATGTACAGTTTTACTAGCACTTCTCTAAGTTACCAAAGTTATTGTGCTTAAGTGTTAAGATTTGTTTTACTCTTAGGCACAAAGGGGTTAAAGCAGTATTGAATGCAAAAGCAAGTGTATCATATTGCAGCTTACCATTTCTTGGCTGTGATAGCTGTATTTAGTTTTCTTTTTAGGCTTTCTTTCCTTTATTTTCATTTGGTGACCCAGCCAGTGAGTCTGTTGTTTTAGAGTGTTGAGACAATCTATTTACCAATGAAAGGGGTGCTTATAATGATCAGATTTTATTAATTTATGTAAATCATTTATCCCAAAAGAAGAAAAACTGTTTGCTGTAACTGCTGTTTGAGCTGGAGTTTGGCTTCTGTTTGTTAGTGTATTTAAATCTGCTATTTCATCTAACAGTCCCTTCACCCTAGACCAGGGGTCTGCAACCTTTAAGATATAAAGAGCCACTTGGACCCGTTTTTGAAGGGAAAAAAAAAAGACTGGGAGCCGCAAAACCATTGCAACATTTGAAATTCATTAGTAATTCATCCCCCATAGTAATTCATCCCCCATATAGTAATTCATCCCCCATAGTAATTCATCCCCCATATAGTAATTCATCCCCCCTATAGTAATTCATTCCCCATTTAGTGTCAATTCACTTACCTTTGCTCCGCGCGTTCCTCTTGCCGTGTTCCCGCGCCGTTCTGGTCTTCAGGGCGGACTGTGAGAGGAGAGGAGTTTGTCACGCTGCCCCGCCTACATCCTGACAGCCAATGTTTGGAGGAGGGAGGGGAGCGGGCGCCCGGCACACAGAAGAGCCGCATTAAAATGTGGGAAGAGACGCGGCTTGCCGACCACTGAGCTACGGCAACCCTATTGCCTGTCACCTGGTGGGCAGTGTGCTCCGGAGCCGCAGCAAAGATGAAAAAGAGCCGCATGCGCCCTAGACTGACAATGCTGCTGTCCAAATGTTCCCCCTGTGATCCTTCATCCAAAGTGGGGGCACTCTAACACAGGAAGTGTAATACTGGCCAGATCAAAATATGAATGATCAGCAATTCAATGCTCATTTATAGTAATGGGCACTAGTTAGTATCGTCCCAAAGAATATAATCAATCAAAATATAGACAGGGAAAAATGGGACTTTCAAGATACCAAATCAGTGACCAATTGATAGCCTCAAAACACCACAGTGCATAAAAACCATACAAATTTATTTAAAAGTCTTAGAAAACCCAATTTAAAATGGTCAACATCAGAAAGTATACAGTCAGGTCCATAAATATTGGGACATCGACACAATTCTAACATTTTTGGCTCTATACACCACCACAATGGATTTGAAATGAAACAAACAAGATGTGCTTTAACTGCAGACTTTCAGCTTTAATTTGAGGGTATTTACATCCAAATCAGGTGAACGGTGTAGGAATTACAACAGTTTGCATATGTGCCTCCCACTTGTGAAGGGACCAAAAGTAATGGGACAATTGGCTTCTCAGCTGTTCCATGGCCAGGTGTGTGTTATTCCCTCATTATCCCAATTACAATGAGCAGATAAAAGGTCCAGAGTTCATTTCAAGTGTGCTATTTGCATTTGAGATCCAAAGAGCTGACACTATCAGTGAAGCAAGCCATCATTAGGCTGAAAAAACAAAACAAACCCATCAAAGAGATAGCAAAAACATTAGGCGTGGTCAAAACAACTGTTTGGAACATTCTTAAAAAGAAGGAATGCACCGGTGAGCTCAGCAACACCAAAAGACCTGGAAGACCCCGAAAACAACTGTGGTGGATGACCGAAGAATTCTTTCGCTGGTGAAGAAAACACCCTTCACAACAGTTGGCCAGATCAAGAACACTCTCCAGGAGGTAGGTGTATGTGTGTCAAAGTCAACAATCAAGAGAAGACTTCACCAGAGTGAATACAGAGGGTTCACCACAAGATGTAAACCATTGGTGAGCCTCAAAAACAGGAAGGCCAGATTAGAGTTTGCCAAACGACATCTAAAAAAAAGCCTTCACAGTTCTGGATCAACATCCTATGGACAGATGAGACCAAGATCAACAAG